AGGCTCCGCTCACTTCCTGGCTCTGGGCTGTCTGCACAGGCAGGGGTTTGCAGCCTCTTGACATTGTCACTCAACATTGTCATCTATGTGGTTCATGCTCCAGGGAGTCTTTTGAGTTATAAAACCAAAACAAAACAGTGTGTGTGTGTGTGTGTGTGTGTGTGTGTGTGTGTGTGTGTGATCTTTTTGAAAGTAAATTACAACTTTGAGGTTACATCGCGTCTGGCCTGGGGTGGGGGGCCACAGCCTGAGGCCTGCAGGGTGGACACTTAGGCTGTCTACGTGTCTAGGTTTAGGATGCAGCCTCCTGGGAAGAGATCTTGTTCTCCGTGGCACAGGTCAGGGGCTGAGGTCTGGCAGTGAGCAAAAAGTCCAGTCTGCCTGTCCTGGGCTTGTGGCGAGCCCCACTTTTCACTTGCTTAGCTCGTGTCTTCCCTCCACTTTCGTCAGGGCCGGCTGGAGCCTGCAGACGCTCTCCACAGTGGCACCGACAGAGCCAGTTTGAGGCTTTTCAACCCCCAGCAGCTTGTACTGAGAATGCAGGACCAGGCGTGTTCTGACAGCCCTGGCCCTTGATCCGCTCCCCCACCCCCACTCCTGCCTCACTCCTTACTCATCCAGCTCCTGGCCCAGCCTGTGCTGGGTGGAGCTTGGGGACTGGAGTTGCTTTATATTTTACATTGCCTGTGTAAGTTGGGTGGTCAGAGCCTCTGCTGAGACTTCACCCAGGGAGAGCAGGGATGGGGCTTAGCTTCTGGGGATGGATAGACCTGTGGCCTAGGCTACCTCTTCTTCCTGGGGAGGGTCTAGGTAGGTCCAACCACATACCTAACCACCCACCCACCTGTCCACCTACTTATCTGTCCACTCATCCATCCATCCATCCATCCATCCATCCATCCATCCATCTGTCCACCTACCTAATCACCTACCTGCTTAGTTCTCAGTGGGACCCATCTGTGTGCACATCTACCCATTCACCTACCCGTTTATCCTTTAACCCATCTATCTACCTGTTGATTCTCCTGTCTGTCCATGTATCCATCTGTCATCATCCATGCATACATGCATCCATCCATGTACACAGGCACTTCTATGCGCTGGACAATCTTCTGGAGGCTGGAGACACATCAGAGAACCAGCTGGACACAATCCCTGTCTTTGCAGTGTTTGCTGACTGGCAGGGCAGACAGAAAACCAGCAAACAAGGCTTCAGTGGGCACGGTCTGTTAGAGGGAGCCAATTGCTATGGACCCTACATGGTGAGGGGGTTTGATATGTCAGCTGGGAGACAGATGGGCTGTACCTGCGGCAGGGAAGGTGCCCACACTAAAGGCTGGCTGGCACTGGGAGTGGGGTGGGCTTACACGTCTCAGCGTTAGAACCTAGGGAGCAGAACAGCAATGCAGAGGCCCTGACTGGGGCTGGGGTGGGGGGTGGAGCATACTTGGAGTGTTGGAGAAACTGCGAGAAGCTGGGGAATGGGGTGGGGAGGGAGAACATGAAGGGAGAAGTCCTGAGGGGCGGAGCTGCTGAGGGGCGGAGCTGCTGAGGGGCAGAGCTGCTGAGGGGCAGAGTTGCTGAGGGGCGGACCCGGTGCCCAGGATGGGCTGTAGTACATGCTGGCAAGGGGCAGATGGGTGTCTGTGGAGTACCCGAGTACTCGGGCATCGTTCACCATGTATTGTAGCCACCTTCTTTCTGTATGGAGAAGCCATAGGAGACCCTCTGGCCCGCCCCTCCCTTGCTCCCCCTCACATCATGCTAAAGCAGATCTCCAATGTTCCACAATGTACATGTTTCTCTGTAGCCACAAGTTTGTAATCTACCCGAAGCCCACCGGTCCTTCTGCCAGCTGCCTCCTCCTCCTCATAAAACCAACCTGCCAGTGGCCATGCTGAGCTCAGGGCCTAGTGCTTAGTATGTGGTCAGTTCACAGTAGCTGCTGTTCTGATGGATGCAGCATATGCTTTCTGGGCTTTGGGCCTATTCTTAGGGCCCCACAGGTAGGAACTTCCTTCATTCTCTTGGCCATTCTTCAAAGTAGGCTGTTCATATCCTGATTATATAGGCAGAGGGAGAGAAACTGCTAGGCTCACACAGTAAGGAAGGGCTGCAACTGGGTTTTGAACCTAGGTGGTTCAGCTCTTAATTCTCATGATGTGGGGCTCTGTTAGCCCAGATAAAGAAGACTACCTCTTTTTACTGGGTGTGGATAGGTGAGGTCAGGATCTGACCATGAGCAGCCCATGAGGAGGGAGCAGCCTGTGCTGAGGCTGGAGGATCATTTAGGGGTGAAGCAATGGCGGGAGGGTGATGGAGGGAGATGGAGCAAGCAGCAGGCCCCCAGCAGGCAGGAGGGTTAAGTCTGACCACTGCCCCCCATTCATGTTCAATATTGTCCTTAGGTCATAGAGAGTGAAGGGGATGGCGCCTGTGAGCTGAGGGGTGGGGGAGGAGCTTAGAACTGCTCATGCACTTGGGCTTGGCCACTTGGCGTTCCTGCCCACCCATGTCCCCAAGGGAGATGCCACCTGGGTGTGGGCGGGGAGGAGGGGGCACCATGTTCCCAGAGTTGAGAAGCAATCAGAGCTGTTGGCAGGGAACAGTGGGCACCGTGGGCAGGGGCCGGCTGGCAGCCCCTCTCAGGGCCCATCCGTCTGTTGCTAGGGAGGAGGGGGCCCGCCCAGCTGACCTTGGGAGGTTAGGGTAAGATTAGAACTTGTCACTTCAGTGTTTCACCAAGATCACTCCCTCATCCTGAACATGTCAAAGACTTTGTGCTCATATACTGGCTGTGGCCCAGATGAACTGTGGCCTGTCTAGGGTCACACCACAATGGTAATTCCCTGAACTCATAATGAACCATCTTGGCGTGACTCTTGAGGCCTTGTGCTAGTGACTCCTCAGCTTCAGCTACCCCTCCAGCTCCTGCCTACTCTCCCTGCGTCCGGGGACAGTGTGGAAAAGAAGGGTTTCCTGGCCCCCAGGAAGTCTCCTGGATCCAGTCTTCAACTGTAAAACTGTGATGTTGCAGACTGCTGAGAGACCCCTGGGGTGGTGGGAACCACAGGAGGGTCTGTCCCTGCCCCATGCTTCCATCTCACCCAGGAGAAAGACCAGCCCAGCCACAGGCTCTTTTCTGAGAGCCTTTGTAGCCCCTAGGGGCAGCCTGCTGGCTGGAAAAGCTGGGAGGGTTGTCATAGGAACCACCAGCTGTCGCAGGATCTTAGACTCATCTGCTTCACCTCATCTGTAAAATGGGCTGAAGAATGACACATGGGTCTGATATGGTGGCACAGGCTTTAATCCCAGTACTTGTGAAGGAGGCAAAGGCAGGCATTTCTGAGTTCAAGGTCAGCCTGGTCTCCTTACTGAATTCTAGGCTCTCCAGTGCTATGTAGCATGACTCTTATCTCTAGAAAACTCACAAAATGAGCTGGCGTGGTGCTCAGCTAAAAGGGCCAAGCACCATGTAAATGGAATTTGGGAGGTAAAGGTAAGAGCTCAGAACTTCAAGCTCTTCCTCAGCTGCATAGTGAGTTTGAGGTCAGCCTGGGCTATGTGAGGATACTCAGTAGATGCTAAGTCTCAGTCGTCACTGCTGATGTGGGTATTTTCTTAGTCCTTCATCCTTTCCACATTGCTAAGCCATTTGTGAAAGGCTACCCTGGAAAGCAGGGAGTTCCGTCCGCCACACTGAAGACAGTCAGAGTGCAGGTGCCTGTCCATGGGAGCTTTCCCCAGAATGATGCTGTAGAGGAGGCTACCCAATGGGTGTGGGATGACGCCCTCCTAGGTCCTTTGACCCGCCCACAGTGGGCACTACTGGGGCCTGTCCCAGTGTCAGCTGGAGTCCCATTTTTGAGCCCCACAGGCTTCCATGCTTTCTCCCGCTGGCTAAGAGGCTGGGCTCCTGGGGCCTGAAGTGTGTACCTGTCTTTCTGTCTAGTCTTTGTTCCTCTTTGGAAAAATGAGCTGACCCATGAGCTTAAGACTCCCCATGAGGTCATCTGGGACCAGTGACCTTGGGGGAAAGGCTGGACAATAGCTAGGCCTCAGAGAGTGGCCCAGGCCCTGACTTAGCTTCTTTGCCCAACATGGCTGGCTGGCTGTCCCTGCGGCCAGGGCCTGGGAGAGCTGGGGAGCTGGCAGTGGGGTTCAGAGGCTTGCCAAGGCTAGTGTGCTGCCCCCTAGAATGGCACTAGGACACCCCCAACCATGAGGCCCTCCCAGCCTGGCTGGGCAGGTACCTGTGGGGGCCCTGAAACTGCCCAGTCTACCCACTACTTCCTGTGCATTCATTCCTCCATGGCAGGCACCCCATTTCCCCAGTGCTCAGTGGTGCTGCTGGGGGTCCTGGCTGGGCTGAGAGCAGCCTAAGGGATGGTGAGTGAGGGCAGACATAGGCCCTGCTGTCACCTTCATGATGAGATGGACCTGGGTATAGAGGCTATGGATCCCAGACTATCCCTGTTTCTTCCTAATGCTGTTTCTTAGTTGGCACGTGACCTTAGGCAAACAGCTAACCCTGCTTTTTACCCCAGTTTTCCCATCTGCACAAAGGCACAGGTCACATGAGGATGGGTGGAGCATCCTTAGCATGGTGCCTGTCCGTGGGAGTCGCTCTGGGGTTTGTCCTCTGGGCTAGGGGCGAGTGCTGTGTGATCTGTGGGGCTGGGACTGGATGAACCACTGCTGGTCACAGCACACTCTCTGTGGTTCTCCCTTAGTGCGTCTAGCTGGTGTGTAGTAGCTTTTCAGGCCAGTGACCTTTCAGGGATGGGTGATCCAAAGACTTCCTTTGCCTACTGTGGGGACCTTGTTGCCTTGTGTGGGGCTGCCTCTGTAGGAAGCCTGCCCGGTCCCTGCTGCTGGAGTACACACAGCACACTGACTGTGAGACAGTCACCTGGTATCCATAGTAACATTGATCACTGGTAGAGAATGTGACTTACCACAGCCATGTGGAGAAGTCACTGACAGACATCCTTTTGCAGGACAGAATACGGAACCAAGAGTGCTGAATGAAGCCATGACAGGCTGAGCCAGGAGCTGAACAAAGGCAGGTAAGCTGGGTGTATTTCAGTCTCATGTAGGCTGGTTTGAATTAACTACGTAGCCTAGGCTAACCTTCAACTGGCTGGATAGCTCTCAGCTCACCATGTAGCCCAGGCTGGTCTTGAACTTACGACATAACTCTGCAGTTGTAATTTGGGTAGTGTTAACAGAGTGTCTTCTGGAGAAGTAGCAGGCATGTGTGGTCGCCTCTCTCCTACCAGGCTGGAGATGATACTGGATTTGAGGCTAAATTATAGAAGTATCAATTTGCCAATCTGTCCGTTGGACATTGATTTCCAGGATGGCTTTAAAAAATGTCACAGTGATGAGATAACGTCCCATGGGATTAGTCCATTTGAAGTGGCCCATCACATGTCCTTGTCAGAGTTGATTTGCTCTGTTCACTTAGCATCATATTTTCAAGACCTACTTAGTTGGGGCATTATTTAGCCAGTTGTGTCAAGACTTCTTGTCAAATAATATTTCATTTTGTGGATATGCCCTATGTCTGTCTGTCTCTGTCCTCTGGATCTCTCCACGTGTGTGGGGAAAATTTAAGAAGGCCGGGTCCCACATTAGGGAAGAAGATCCTATGGTTCCAGCAGCCTAAGGGCCTTGGCGGCGGCAGGCCCCAGTAACACGAGGAAGTCCTTGGTTCCAAAAAGATTTATTGTCATGACGGATAATAGATGGATCTAGGCGTACCCCCCCAAAACTCAGGGCAGTCCCGAGTTATATAGGGAGGGAGAAAGGGGGAGGATTGGGGGAGGCATGTTTAATTTGCTCTGCCCTCTGGCCTTCATTAGTATGTAAATCCCTAGGGCCTGAGGCCTATAGCCTGGCCTATGTGACTCTATGGAGATGTGACTGCTTTTCAGGATCCTGGATGATGGGAGGGACCGAACTCCTGCCGGTTCAAGTCTGCAGAGTCTCGGGGTTCTAGGCACCTGCTCAACCATGACCCAGGATACCCTTACGCAGTCCCACACACGTGGGGATGTAAGGATGCATGCCCTGTGAGCACACATGCCAGCTGGAGCTGACATCTTCCTCAGTCGCTTGCCCATCTTATCTTTTGAGGTCATGTCTCTCACTGAGCCTGTACCTCACTCTCAGCTAGACTAGGTCAGGAAATCCCCAGGGTCTGCCTGTCATGGTGTCCATTGCTAGAGTCACAGGCATGTGCTGCCATGCCTGGCCTAAGTGCTGGACATCTGAACTCAGGTCCTCATGCTTATGTAACAGGAACTTTATCCATACCACCATCTCCCCAGCCCATGTCTGTCTGTCTGTCTATACATATACACACATGTATATGTATACATATATGTATGTATGCACACATTGAGATGTTTTTGAGGCTAGTGAAATGGGTCTGTAGGTAAAGATGCTTGCCATCGAGGCTCACAACCTGAGTGTGATCCCTGGAGCCCACATGGGAGAGAGAACTAACTCTTCCAATTTGTCTTCTGATGTCCACATGCATACAATGACAGGTGTACCCCCCCAAGCACACACACACACACACCCACATACACACACACACACACACACACACACACAGACACACAGATGACAATAAATGCAGGGGCTAAAGAGATGGCTCAGCAGTTTTGAGCACTTACTTGCTGCTCTTCCAGAGGACCTGGGATCAATTCCCTGCATTCATGTGGTGATAACTCTAATTTCAGGAAATTCAATGCCCTCTTCTGCACTCCTTGGGCACAAGGTATGCACACGCACTACACAGACATACATGCAAGACAAAACGCTCACATAAAATAAATCTCAAAAAATGAAATGTAATGAAAATATTTTTAAATTGACATAAAAATTGTGTGTTTATAGATAACATGTCTGATTGATTGATTGATTGGTTGATTGATTGATTGATTCTGGGCTGAGATGCAGCCTTCCCTCACTCCTGCTAGGCAGTTAGTTGTTCCATCGTAACCTACAGCTGTAGCCCCTCTGTGTTTTATAATGATCAAACCCAAGTGAACCTGTCTCCTCAGACACTCTGTCTCTCTGGGTTCCCACATTCAGAATTACTTCTTGCAGCTTTTTGAAGTGTGCAGTGCATTGCTACCTATTGGCAATCCAACTGTTCAGTTGAAGGCACACAGGGACCTCTTCGACCTAACCAACTAGAACATCCTACACATTGGTCAGTCTCTCCTCATCCCCTCTTTTCACTTCCTCCTCAGGAAAGTGAAAAGTAGTAGTATTCTATCTTAGCTTCTATGATAACAACATTTTAAAAAAAGATGTACGTACATATGTACATATATATGTGTGTATTATATAATATATGTGGATGTTTTGCCTGCAGGTATATATGCACACCAGAAGTAAGCACTGAATCCCATAGGATTACAGTTACAGACTTCTTGTAGGCTGTCATGTGGGTGCTGAGAATTGAACTCAGAACTCTGAAAGAGCAGTCAGTTCTCTTTACTGCTGATCCATTTCTCTAGCCCATGAGGTCAAAGTTTTTAAAAAATGTTTATTTTATTTTAAATGTGTGTATATGTGTGTATGTGCATGTGGGTACAGGTACCTGAGGTGGCCAGAAGTGGGCGACATTCCTCTGGAGCTGGAGCTACAGATGGTTGTAAGCTGCCATATGGATGCTGGGAACTGAAATCTGTAAGAACAGCCAATATTCTTAACTGCTGAGCTGTTTCTCCAGCTCCTATGATAGCAATTTTTAAAGGCTCCACGTGTGAGTGAGATCAGGTATTTTGGTGCCTGCATATTTCACTTTCCACATGCCCTCCATGTTGGTTCAAATGACAGCTTCGTCCTTTATTTACTGGCTGGCAGACACTTGAGCTGTTTCTGCCTATTATGAATACTGCTGTGATGAACGTGGAAGTTACCATGTCCCTTTAATGTATTCATTTTATTTTGAAATCATGTGTGTGTATGCATATGTGTAATTTTTTGGAGTTTAAGAGATAAACAACAGGACAGGCAAGCTGAAGACCTCAGGCGCCAGGAAGAGGGCGATGGATAAGAATAAGGGAAACTCATGCTTCCTGAGGGGAGGTCTGGAATCCAGGTGGACTCTGTGATGGGTGTCCGCCAGCCAGCTGCATGGGGTTAGGGATGAAGTGAGGATTCCAACAGTGCCTGAGTGCCAGGCTGAGGGAGGCAGAAGAGGAGAAAGACAGACAGACTTTCCGAGTGGAACTCAGGCAGTGGGTAAGCACAGCTGTGGGCTCTAAGCCTGGTGTTATTCCTGTGGTAGTACCTGGCATGTGTACAGTCTACTCATGTGCTCATCTGTTGCTGGGCATTGGGTTCTTTCATTGTGGGTCCACGGTGAATGCCACCCTGTGTGCTGTGGCACATGGGTTTCTGTGTGCTTGTGTCTTTTAATTTCTGGTGATGTGCACCTGGGAGTGCACTTCCTTGATGGCGTGGTAAGTCCCCCATTGAACCTTCTAATGGAAGGCTAGACTGTTTTTTCAAATGACTGTATCACTTGATGCCCCACAATCATAGAAGAAGGTGCCCCCATGTTCCTGACAGTGCTTGGTGCTGGCTGCCTTTCTGATGACAGATGTCCTGTGGGCAGGACACAGCATCTCTCATGACTGACTTTTCTCGTGGGTTCTGGCGATGAGCTTCTGTCCATGTCAGCTGCAGGCTAGTTCTGGAGGAGAAACACCTATTGGTGTCCTTTGCCCATTTTGAACTTGGGTTTGTTTGTTGTTCAGTTGTACCTATAGGCTCTCACTCATGCCAGCCCAGTGTGCTGCCATTCAGCCCTCAGCCCAGGATTTTTTTTTAACTTATGTGTTTATGTGTGTGATGTGCATGAGTATAGATTCTCTCCCAGGCCGGTAGAGGTTGTCAGCTTCCTGGGAACTGGAGGTACCAGTGGATGTGAGCTGCCTAACTGGGGACCGAATCCTGGTCCTCCGAGAGGATAACAAACACTCTTAACCACGGAGCCATCTCTCTAGCCTTAGACATTTTTTAAAATATTGGAAGATTGGTGTGTGTGTGTGCGTGTGTGTGTGTGGTGTCCAGATGTTGTCACAGCACAGAGAACAGCCTTCAGGAGTAGTTTTGCTCCTCCTACCATGTGGGTCCTGGGGATTGAACTCAATATTTTTAGACTTGGCAGGAAACTTTTACCCATCTGAGCCCATCTTGATGGTCTAGGTTTCCTTATCATCTAGATATAAATCCCTTGTTACATGATTTTGGAATATCTTCTGTTTTTTTTTGTTTATTTGTTTGTTTGTTTTGTTTTGTTCAGGAGTTATCTGAGTCTCATTTCCTGTTGTGTGACAAAACACTCTGACAAGAGCAGCCTAAGGGAGAAAGGGTTCTGGTTCGCATTTCAAGAGCACACTCCATCATGATAGGGGAGCTAAGGTGGCAGGAGCTTGACCCAGCTGATAACATTGAATCCACAGTCAGAAAGCAGAAGGGTGAACAAAGGCTGCTGCCCAGCCTCCAGTCTCCACTTAAACAGTCCAGCATCGCAGCCAGGGAATGGTGCCACCCATAGTGGGCATGTCTCCCACTTCAGCTAAAACAGTCAGAATTTTCTCCTACAGTCTTTTCCACAGGCCTGCCTCCCTAGTGAATCTAGATTCTGTCTAGTTAACAATTAACACTAACCATAACGTGCCTTACTATGTAGCCCAGGCTAGCCTCCAATTCGTGATCCTATCTCAACTTCCCACATGCTGGGGTTCCTATCCTGCTATACCTCATCTGGCTCCTCTCTTTGCTTTCTTAAGGGTGTCCTCTGGAAGAACATCAGGATTCTAAGTTAGGATAAGTGGGGGCTTAGTTTCCTTCTGTTGCTTGGGTCCTGAGTGCCCTGCATGAGAAATCATGCCTAAGGTCATGAAGCTTTTACCTATATTTCCTTTCGGGTCTTTGTTTCTTTGAGACAGGGCCTCTTGTAGCCTAAGCTAGCCTCAAGCTTGTTTCGAAGCAGAGGCTGGTATCTCTGCTTCTACTCACAGAGTCCTGGGATTAA